TTGAGTTTCAAATAATGGAATGGTGTAGATGACGTCGCGACTTTATTAGACTGCTTTTGAGGGTGAAATTTTGCAGCACTAGCCTCGGGTGCTTAAAACTGGCCCAAAAATGGAACTGTACTTCAAAACAATCTACAACTCAATGGCCCTTAAAGAGTGAGTTAATTACTACAAAACTAAAAAGATGATAAAACATAACAGACATACCCATTTTGATTAGAAATTTGAACTGTGTTAAAAGGTAAAAATTATAAAGGTTTAGGAATCTGTCTCTGGGTTCTGTGAACAGTAGCTGGCATGGCCATTAACTTGGATGATATCTGTAATGCTGACATTGGTAATGAAACAGTAGATTTCAAGATCATTGACTCAGTATATAGCTGACGGGCAAGTCTGCATGTAGCAGATGCATTTAACAACGACTATATCGGTAGGAGTGAACACCTCACTGTCTTTTTGGAGACTAAGTCCTATTTTCATGTCAGGGATATCTTGCATTTTATTGTCTGTCACCACTGCCACATATTTCAAACAGATCTAGCAACTAGAAACTGGAAATCCCTGAGAAATTGGGCCATTAGAATCAAAAGAATTATATTCCAACACAATCTTCAACTCCTTGGCTCATCCCACTCTACCATTATCATCATGCTTGGGCATCAGCCCTGGCTCAGTGAAGAAGAAAATGTCAACCCTAGCACTAAGCATTCCAAAAAGTGAGATATTGGCCTGGTGAAGCTACAACACAAGACTACTTCCATGCCAAACAGCATAAGCATCAAGTGATTGATAGGGCTAAGTAATTCCAAAACCAATGGATCAGATCTAAGCTCTGCAGTCCTGCCACAGCAGTTGTGAATGGTGATGGACAATTAAACAACTCACTGGAGGAGGAGGCTCCACAAATATCCCCATCCTCAACAATGGGGGAGCCCAGCACATCCGTACAAAAGGAAAGGCCCAAGCAGTTGCTTCCCTCTTCAGCCAGATGTGCTGAATGGAAAATCCATCTCCGCTTCCGCTAAGGACCTCAGCATTACTAATGTCAGCCTTCAGTCAATTTTGTTCACTCATGCCATATCAAGAAATGGCAGTGCACTGGATACTGCCAAGGCTGTGGTCCTGACCACATTTCTGGCAATTGTCCTGTTGACTTGTGCTCCAGAACTAGCCATGCCCCTAGCTAACTTATTCCAGTACAGCTACAACACTGGTACCTGCTAGACAATGTAGAAAATTGCCCAAGTACATCTTGCCCACAAAAGCAGGGAAAACCCAACCCCACCAATTATTGCCCTATCAGCCTACTTTGGATCATCAATAAAGTGATGGAAGGGTTTGTCAACAGTGCGGTCTAGCAGCACTTACAAACAAATGTTCACTGATGTTCAGTCTAGGTTCCACTAGGGCCACTCAGCTCTTGACCTCCCTGCAGCCTTTGTCCAAACATGGACAAAAAAACTGAATCTCAGAGATGAGGTGCGAGTGACTGCTGTTGACATCCAGGTAGCATGTTACTGAGTGTACTATCATGGAGCTTTGGCAAAATTAGAATAAATGAAAATTGCAGGGAAAAATTCTCTGCTGGTTGGAGTCTGAAGCTGTCCTGGTCCAAATGCACCAAGAACTGGACAATGCCCAGACTTGGGCTGATGTGTGGCAAGTTAACAATTGTGCTTTTTAAGTGCCAGTTAATAATCATCTCCAACAAGAGAGAATCTGACATCGCACTATGCCATTCAATGGCTTACTATCACTGAATTCCCCACTATCAAGCTGCTGGTGGTTACCATTGAGCAGAAACTGAACTGGACCAGTGAAATAAATACTGTGGCTACAAGAGCAGGTCAGATGCTAGGAATTCTATGGTGAGAAATTCGGTTCTGTCTCCCTTGTGCCTATTCATCATCTACAAGGCACAAGTCAGAGCTATGATAGAATAATCCTCACTTGCCTGGATGTGTATGCTGCACAAATACTGAAGAAGAGACACCATCCAATGCAAAGCATCCTTCTTGATTAGCAACCAACCATCACCTTTAGCATTCACTCCATCCGTTGAAGCACAGTGGCTGTGGTGTGTGCCAACTGCAAGATTTTTATTTTCTTTATTCATTAACGGGATGAGGACATCGCTGGCTAGGCAGCATTTACTGTCCATCCCTAATTGCCCAGAGGGCAATTCCGAGTCAACCACATTGCTGTGGGTCTGGAGTCACATGTAGGCCAGACGAGGTAAAAATGGTAATTTCCTTCCCTAAAGGAAATTAGTGAACCAGATGGGTTTTCCCCAACAATCGACAATGAATTCATGGTCATCATTAGAGTCTTAATTCCAGATATATTTTATTGAATTCAAATTCCACCATCTGCCATGGCAGGATTTGAACCGTCCCCAGAATATTATCTGGATTAACAGTCCAGCGATAATACCAGTAGGCCATTGCCTCCCCTTGATGCACTGAATAAGCCACCAAGTTTCCTTCAGTGGTACCTTACAAACTGACTACCTCAATCTCTGAGATGTACATCATCATCACCTGCTCGTTACCCTCTTAGCCATATGCCATGCTAATTTGGAATTGCACTGCCATTCCTTCATCATTGCAGGGTTGAAATCCTGGATCTTCCTTCGTAACATCTGTTTGTGTCCCTAATCTCCTTGAACTGCAACAGTCAGAAATATCTGATTTGATTTTTTGTACAATGACAAGATATGTGGGCAGATGTAGACCATTCAGCCCATCAAGTCTGCCCTGCCATTCAGTGAGATCATGGCTGGTCTGATAATCCTAAACTCTCTTTTCCTGCCTTTTTCCAATAACCCTTGATTCTCTTACTGATCAAGTATATTCAAGGTTAAGATAGATTTTAATGGACCAGCCTCGACAGACCTGTGCAGTAAAGAATTGTACAGATTCACTACTGCCAGAAAAAAAAATGCTCCTCATCTCTGTCTTAAATGCGCAACCCTTTATTCTGAGATTATGCCGTCTGGTCCTAGACTCTTCTACAATGGGAAATAACCTTTCCACATCTACTCTGTCAAGTCCTCAAAATATCTTATTCATTTCAATAAGATTGCCACTCATTCTTCAAAATTCCAATGAGTACAGGACAACCATTTCAACTTCTCAGAACACAGTCCATAACTGGAATCAGCCTAGAATCTTCCCTGGGCTGCCTCCATCGCTAGTATATTTCCTTAGATAAGTGGCCCAAAACTGTTCACAATATTCCATCTATGGTCTGACTAGACTAGTGCCTTGTATAGTTTTAGCAAAACCCCTCTACTTTTAAACTCCATCCCCTGTGAAATAAAGACTAACAATCTATTTGCCTTCCTTAATACCTGATGAACTTGCATGCTAACTTTTGTGATTCATGGATTAGGATTTCCTAATCCCTTTTCTGTAGCTTTCTGCAATCTTTCTCCATTCAAATAGTATTCAGCTGCTCTATGCTTCCTGCCAAAATGCATTACCTTGCATGTCCTACTTCTTGAATCGTTAAACATATTAACATGCTTGAGTGAGATGCCATTTCTTCACTGCTGAAATGAGATGTGTTTGAGATGTATCAGAATATCATTTTGTCAATAGCAGTCACCAAACATGACCCAAAGTATAGCATATTTTTTGGCACAGAAACTCTTGGTTTCCTTTTTAATAAAATAAGCCGTTCCATTACATAATATGCAAATAGTTGCTGACCTATTCATTTAAACATTTCAGACGCAAGTAATGATTATTATGTTTCTAACAATAAATGAATAACTAAATTTACCAGAAAATCAGAAAAATATACTGTGCCGTGAATTGAAAAACAGATATTTTGTACTTGAAGTGTATTTGTTTATATTTGTATTAAGTGTCACATAAATTCATCCATCATCATCATAACATGACCAAGATTAACTTTTATATGAGACAGGTAGGGAAGCTGATTAAACTAGTTTATTGTCCTCACTTTCTGTCTTGAGCAGAGTATTTTAACTTCAAATGTAATGTGTTTTCCAACCCGCTGTTGTGAATTTTTAAAAAGATATCTTGCAGTAAACACTCTCTTACATTTAAATTAAAGAATTGTATGTATCCATGCCTAAATAGTTTTTAAACCCTCTGTGGTCTTTGACATTTCTCTCGCACATATGCATTGACACACACACACACAAGAAACAGGAAGGAAGAGTTTTGCAGCTATAATGTTAAAACCAACAGTGAGGAAACTTGATTCACATGAATAAAAAGTCAATGAGGGTTTCTTCACTGAGACATTATCAAGTTGAGGTGATCCCAGATGGCTGAACCATGAGACTTGCAGAATTGATTGATGCAGCAGGATGATTCGTATTGACAGGAATATAGGTTTTTCATTTTGGTGAATGCAGGATTCTTTCCAGAACAATGAGACTTGGACTTGAGGCAGGCTTAGCTGTTGGCCTTGAGCGCTGTTGGCTGTTCTCTGTTCTCATGTTAAAGCAGATTGTCAAGGATTCAGAAATGTACAATTAAAACTGTACAAAAAGGCAGATGTGATTTGGTCATGTGACATTGTCCATTAGAAGTTAGTGTCTGTCTGTCAAAATCCATCGAACACTTGAGTTAGATGATGATTGCTAGCACAAGTACAGTCGTGATGAGTTTTGATACATCCCCTTTATTATCAGTTCAAGTTCAGCAGACAGAATGTATACTGCTCTCTGTGTTTCACTATCCATGCAATTTCAGGGTAAGAAATTGCACTGAGATTGATTTGGTTTAGCTTTGTCCTAGTAATTACTAGAGTTTCTAGAGCTGTAGCCAACTTGCAAATCATGTGATCTGCAGTGGCCATTTTATTCCAGAAATGACCATTTTAAAATTAAACTAAGCATGTTTTCTTTTCTAACAATGTATGGCCTGTTTTATGTCATTATCAACTTGACATCGTCCTTTTTAATACTTCGCTTAATTCACCAAACTCAACTGTGGAATTAGCAGCAAATCAGCTTCTCCAGCTTAGTAACTTGAATTATCGACCAGACGAAAAGCTTCAAGGAACTCATTAATGTCTATACTTCCATCCTTGTTGAAGTCCATACTGCGAGCCAGGTCACCAATGGCTTTATCACTAACATCAATCTTAAGGTGAGAACTGAGGAGTTTACAAGTTTTTTGCAATTCCTCGAATGTTATCAGACCTGCCATAGACATAGAAATGGATAATTTACTTTGCTTCCATGACAGAAAGCAACAAGTACAATTTCTAAATAGATATTAGATAGTACAGGACTTGCATATTACTGTAAAAAGGCATTTTGTCTTGTATTCGTCAGGGCAATATACAAGAAGTGTGAAAACAAAAGGTAAAACTACATTTTATGCTGTATGAGAACTGGGTGCTAATTGGTTTACAAGCAGACTCTGGTAGTGGTGTTACCATGGAGAATGCATCAGTTAATGATGAGTGACAGTTAACTGCCAAGCTTTGTTTATGTTTTAAAACAGGTAGATTTACTTTGATCAAGACATTGCACTGAGAAATTGCTGTCACCTATTCTGGGTTTGGTTGCCAGTTGGCCAAACTGCCTTCAGTTTCTCACACTGATCATTTGTCCAGCAATCAAATAGCAGGTACTTTAATGAATTAATTTCCAGTTTTTCAGAAGTGCTGTTTAATCCATTTAGAAGGACAAGGACAGCAGATGCATGGGAACACCACTATCTGCAAGTTCTTCTCCAAGTCCCACATCATCCTGACTTGAAAATACATCACTATTCTTAACTATGTCAAAATCCTGGAACACTCCTGCAGCTCTGTGTACTTGTACCAGATGATCTGCAGCAGCTCCAGAAAGGGAACTCACCTCTGCTTTCTCAAGGACTATTCGGCATAGGCAGTAAATTGTCTTGCCAGCAATATCCACAATAAACATTATGCAATACTTTTTTAAAATTCTCTCATGGGACATGGGTGCTGGCTGGGCCAGCATTTATTGCCTGTCTCTAATGGCCTTTGAGAAGGTGGTGGTGAGCTGCCTTTTTGAACTGCTGCAGTCTGTTTGCCATAGGTAGACTCAGAACACCATTAGGGAGAGAATTCCAGGATTTTGAATCAGCAACAGTGAAGGAATGGTGATATATTTCCAAGTCATGGTGAGTAACTTGAGGGCAACTTCGAGGTAGTCATGTTCCTTTGTGTCTGCTGGCCTTGTCCTTGTTGATGAAAGTGGCTGTGGGTTTAGAAAGGAGCCTTAGTGAATTTCTGCAGTGCTACAGCTGCTACTGAGTGTTCCTGGAGGGGTGAGTGGATATTTGTGGATATGGTGCCAGTCAAGCAGGCTGCTTTTTCCTGAATGGCGTCAGGCTTCTGGAGTGTCGTTGGAGCTTCTTTCATCCAGGCAAGTGACTTGTGCCTTTTAGATGGTGAACAGGTTTTGGGAAGTCAGCAGGTGAATTACTTACTGAAGTATTCTAGCCCCTGGCCCCCTCTTGTAGACACAATATTTATATGGTTAGATCAGTTTCTGGTGAATGGTAACCCTCAGGATGTTGATCGTGGGGGATTCGGTGATGGTAACTCTATTGAATGTCAAGGGGCCGTGTTTAGATCGTTTTATCGATGATGGTTATTGCCTGGCATTTGTGCAATGTGAGTGTTACTTGTCACTTGTCAGTCCCAGCCTGGATATTCTCCAGATCTTGCTTCAGTATTGGACGTGTTGTGAATGGTGCTGAGCATTGTGCAATCATCGGCAAACATCTGCACTTCTGACCTTATGATGAAGCAGCTGAAGATAGTTGAGCCTGGGACACTACCCTGAGGAACTCCCGAGATGTCCTGGAGTGAGGTGACACACCTCCAACAACCGCAGTGTGTTACGTATGATTCCAAGCAGTCAGGAATTTCCCTGATTCCCACTGATTCCAGTTTTGCTGTGGTGTCTTGATGTCACACTTGGTCAAATGTGGCATTTATGTCAAGGGCAGTCACTCTCACTTCACCTCAATTTTTAAAAAATGAATCATATCTCCCGATCTTACTCATTTTTCATACTCTGATAGCTGTATCATAGTGACTCCAGAACTAAGCAATGTGTAGACATGGTAGTCAAAGTGATCTCTCCAACATACAAGGGGGGAATGCGGGGGAGGCACCTTTATAAACAGCACTTACCAGAGTTGTCACTGTCAATAATTCTAAAAATGGTTTCCAGGTCAGACCTGCTTCTGTAAAGCATTTCCAGCAAACTAGGTTGTACATGCTGCAAAGGGAAGAAAAGGCATTTTAATTTTTAAACAAAACTGCCAGATTAGATTAGTCTCTGCGACAAGATAGATGCGAGAAGGCAGTGGTTGAATCCCTTTCTGGAACTGCTGCAGACTGAGTTTTGATCTAGGCATCCAAACTCCATATCCACATGAGTGGTTCTCTGTATAGACTCTTAAAACTAATTGATAATAAGTATATTTTATGTTCCCCTGTCCCACTCATATCAAGGATAACAAAAGCCCTGATGTGTACAAATATGTTTAAAGTGCTGTTTTGAAGTTAAATAGCTAGTGAAATAATATTCTACGCAGAATGTAATATGTAACCTAACATAAAGCAGCACACTGCACAGATTTTGTAACTGAAATGCTGAGCAGGACATGGATAGGGTGAATAGCTAAGGTCTTTTTCCAAGTGTGGGGGAGTCCAAAACTAGAGGGCATAGGTTTAAGGTGAGAGGGGAAAGATATAAAAAGGACCTGGGGGGTAACTTTTTCACACACAGGGTGGTGTGTGTATGGAACGAGCTGCCAGGGGAAATGTTGGAGTTGTGTACAATTACAACATTAAAAAGGCAGAGTCAATACAGTGTGGAGCTGGAGGAACACGGTAGATCAGGCAGCCTTCTGAGAAGCAGGAAAGTCGACGTTTTGGGTCAGGACCCTGTACCCAACCTGAAATGTTGATTTTCCTGAACCTCTGATGCTGCCTGACCTGCTGTGTTCCTCCAGCACCACACTGTATCGACTCTGACTGCAACATCTGCAGTTCTTGCTATCTCTATCTCACATTTAAAATCTATCTGGATGGATGTGGAGGGCATATGAAGGGTTTAGAGGGATTGGGGCAAGTGCTGGCAAATGGTATTGGTTCTGATTGGGACATCTGGTCAGCATGGACGAGTTGGACTGAAGGGTTTATTTTCAGGCTGTATGACTTTATGATGCCATTTGGCTTGTCTAGCTCTGGTCCTGGATAAGTGCCAAACAACTCCAGTTACTGATGGAAAAAATGCAGCAATTGTCTTTTGGCCCTACCACAAACTTGCTGTCATCACCAATAATTCCCTCCCTGGTTATATTTTGAGGTCAGTTGTTTGCAACCCTGGTGTACTATTTCATCCTGACCTGACCTGTACCCTCGTCACAAAGACAGCCTGTTTTCAACACTGTGACATTGCCCATCTACTGCCAAATCCCTCATGTATGTCCTTGTCATCTCCAGACTTAGCAATACTACTGCTTTCCTGGGTGGCTTTCTATATTCCAGAAATATCAGCTCATGCAAAATTCTGCTGATCATATCCTAATGCCAGTCAGGCCTTGCTTGCCCATGGCCATTGTACTTCGTAAATGACATTGTTTCCTGGTCCCACAGGACCTGCAAATTTAAATTCTCATCTTTGTGTTCAAGCTCCTTCATGGCCGAATCCTTCAAATTCTGTAACCTCTACATCCCTCTAAAAACTCTGTACTCCTCTAAGACTAACCTGCTCTGCATCGCTCACTCCCTTTAATAAATGTGCCTGGAGTCATCAAACTCCAAGCTCTGGAACTCTGATTCTGTCCATTTCATTCTCTTTCTTATGAGCCTGTTTAAAGACTAAACTTTTAGTTATCCTTCCTAATGTCCTCTTCTGTAATTCATCCTGAATACATCTGAAAGTGTAACATTGCCCAGCCCGCTCGAGGTCCACACTGGGCTCACTCGAAGTCCTTACTGGATCATGTTTCCCTATTTAGGTTCTTCTGGTTTAAAGTAGTTCATTTTATGCAAAGAGTTTAAAATGCCCAAACAGACAATATAAAGCCGTGCAAGTATGTAAATTTTGTTTTTTTTCTGGATAATCGGTGTTGCACTCTGAAAGTGTGTTGTGAAATCCATCTCTTACCTGCGCAATGGGTTTCTCTATGGCGAGATCATCAAACCATGAGTAAAAATTCAGAAGTCCATTAGGAGCACTGGGCACAAGTTGGGATCGCAAAACACGCCATGGCAGACCCAGAGCTAATGTTGTCTCCAGAGCATTTGCCCAGTCATTCAGTGAAATGTTACCTATGTGTTATTGTAAGATTACAACAGTTAACATCAAAACCAAATGTTGGTACATTGAACAGAACAGATCTTAAATTTGGAGATTGAATATGACAGCTGATGTCTTAACAGAACTCTCAATGATCATTTAAAAATCCACAGTCTGAAGGTTGAAACATAAAGAAAAATGGATTAACTATTGGGTAGTACTACATTCACTCTTTAGACTGTTGTTATGTCCTTTCATCACCACAAGAAAATGGATCTGAGTGGCTTGGTGTTAAATTATTAAATTCACTTTTGCTTGAGGTTAAAATTGTACTGTTAAATAAGCTTGTTTAACATATTAGATAGAAACAGTTTGAAATCTGGAGATCAACTTTTAAGAGACACAACGTCCTTGCTTGCCAGATCTTGGAGATACTTTTTAATACTTTAGTTAATGTTAACTTTCTTCTACAATTTCATGCAGATTTCTATTGCATGTTTGCAGTTGATTACCAAATAAGGATTAGACCATCATTCAGTTTTGTTACCAATCTAGTAGGACTCCAAATTATGTGAAATAAATCACTGTCTACTTACAACTGAACTTTGTAACCCTACCTGTTTTATTCTTATCATAATGCTCAAATGCACTGATGAGATCTGATTTATGGGCAAAAATCTTCTTCCGCAGAGCTCCTAATGCCGACCTCTCAACTCTACTCACTCTGCATAAAAAGAGTTTCTGATTAGAATGTATTTGCACATCAAATAACATTTGCTCAGTAGAATATAGTTAGAAGCAAGTGATATAAAGTAGAATTCCGGTAAGAAAAGTTTAAATCTTGTGAATTGGTGCCAATCAAGTATAATGTGTTGTCTTGGATGTTGTTGAGCTTCTTGAGTGTTGTTGGAACTGCACATATCTAGGTAAAATACGGAGAGAATTCCATCACACTCTGGACTTATGCACTGTAGATAATGGACAGGTTTGGTACAGCAGAAGGTGAGCTATTTGCCAAAACATACTGACCCGCTGGCTTGCTGTTATGGCACATTGCTTATTTGGCTGATCGACTTTAGTTTTTGGTTGATGGTAATCCCCAGGATTTTGTTAGGGGGATTCAGTGGAGGTAGCGTCATTGAAAATCAAGTGGAGATGGTCATTGCCTTGCACAAATATTACTTGTCATTTATCAGCACAAGCCTAAATGTTGTCTAGGTCTTTTTGCAAATGAGCATGGACTGCTTCAGTATCTGAGGAGTTATGAATGAAACTGAACAGGAAACAATCATCCATGAACGTCCCCATAACTAATCTTATGATGGAGGGAAGGACATTGACAAAGCACCTAAAGATGGTTGGTCTGTTAGATTATACAGAGGAGCTCCTGCAGTGATGTCTGCAGATTTAGATAATTGACTTCCAATTACCAGAGCCTTCTTTCTTTGTGCTAGGTATGATGCCAACCAACAGAGAGCCTTTTCATTAACATCAATTTTGCCCAAATTCCTTGAGGCTGCACTTTGTCAAATGCTGCCTTAATGTTGAAAGCAGTCAATCCCATGTCATTTCTGACATTCATTTATTTTATCTATTTTGGGAACATGTCTATAATGAGATCTGGTGACAAATATTCCTGCTGGAGCCCCAATCTAAGCATTGGTGAATAAGTTTTTGCTGAGTGAGCACTCCTGGATAGCACTGTTAATGATACTTTCTATTCTTTGTTGATGATTGAGGGTAAACTAATGGGAGGGTAAATGCCCCAATCGGATTTGTCCTGCTTTTTGTGGACTGGGCATACCTGGGCAATTTTCCATGTTGTTGTGTAGATGCATTGTTGTAACCGTACTAGAACAACTTGGTTAGGGGAGTGCTACATTCTGTAGTACGTCTTCAGTACTACAGCCAGGATGTCATTAGGGCCCATAACCTTTGCTGAATCCGCTGTCATCAGCTGTTTTTGATATCTCATGGAGTGTACTGAATTGGCTGGAGATGGGTTGGGTTTTGTGGAGATGGGGACCTCAGGAAGAGGCAGAAATGCATCATTTATTCAACACTTTTTGCTAAAGGTGTTCGAAAATGACTTGACTTTTGCACTCAAGTAACAGGCTCAGACGTCTTTGATCATACAAATGTTTCCAGAGACGCCTCTTCCTCTTTTTCCAGTTAGCTGTTTAAGTGTCCAACACTATTCATTAATTATTTGAAGCTTACAAAAATAAAACATACAAGTGTTTACTTTAAGGCTGAGAAATTGAATGTGTGTGTGTTGGTCTGTGTGCACAGCAGACCAACTGTAGAAAGGGTAGCTCAGTGGTTAGCACTGCTGTCTCACAACGCTAGGGACCTGGGTTCAATTCCACCCTCAGGTGACTGCCTGTGTGGAGTTTGCACATTCTCCCTGTGTCTGTGTGGATTTCCTCCCATGGTCTAAAGAGGTGCAGATTAGGTGGATTGGCTATGCTAAATTACCTATAGTGTCCAGGGATGTTTAGGTTAGGCAGGGGTAAGGGAATGAGTCAGGGTCACAGGGACTTGTTTCCACACTGTAGGGATTCTATGAAAGAAAAGTGTTCTTCTGCATATGTTATACCTTTTATGTTCTTTCAATTTCAGAATACATAGTCATACTCACAGAATCATACCTTACAGACAATGTCCCAGACACCACCATCACCATCCCTGGATATGTCCTGTCCCACTGGCAGGACAGACCCAGCAGAGGTGGCAGCACAGTGGCATACAGTTGTGAGGGAGTGGCCCTGGGAGTCCTCAACATTGACTCCGGATCCCGTGAAGTCTCATGGCTTCAGGTTAAACATGGGCAAGGAAACCTCCTGCTGATTACCACGTACCATCCTCCCTCAGCTGATGAATCAATATTCCTCCATGTTGAACAACACCTTGAAGGATGTGCTGATGATGACAAGGGCACAAAGTGTACTCTGGGTGGGTGATTTCAATGTTCAGTACCAAAAGTGGCTTGGCAGCAGTACTACTGATCGAGCTGGTTGGATCCCAGAGGACATAGCTGCTAGACTGGGTCTGCAGCAGGTGGTGAGGGAACCAACATGAGGAAAAAACATACTTGACCTCATTCTTACCAATCTGCCAGCTGCAGTTGCATCTGTCTATGACAGTATCGGTAAGAATGACCATTGCACAGTCCTTATGCAGTTGAAGTCCCGCCTTCACATTGAGAATAATTTCTATCGTGTTGTGAGACACTATCACCGTGCTAAATGGGACAGACTTCACACAGATCTAACAACTCAAGACTGGGCATCCATGAGGCACTGTGGGCCATCAACAGCAGCACTAGGCATACCTGAAGAAGAGGTATCAACCTGGTGAAGCTACCAAACAGGACTACTTGCAGGCCAAACAGCGAAAGCAGCTAGTGATAGACAGAGCTAACTGATCGCACAACCAATGGATGAGATCTAAGCTCCGCAGTCCTGCCACAGCCAGTCATGAATGGTGGTGGACAATTAAACAACTCACTGGAGGACAGACTCCACAAATATCCTCTCCCCATTGATGGAAGAGCCCAGCACATCAGTGCAAAAGAGAAGGCTGAAGCAATCACAGCAATCTTCAGCCAGAAGCACTGAGTGGATGATCCATCTCAGCCTCCTCCAGTGGTCCCCAGCATTACAGATACCAGTTTTCAGCCAATTTGATTCACTCCATGTGAGAAATGGTTGGAGACTCTGGATACTGCAAAGGCTATGGGTCCTGATAACATTCCGGCAATATTACTGAAGACTTGTGCTCCAGAACTTGCTGCTCCCCTAGCCAAGCTGTTCCAGTACAGCTACAACACTGGTATCTACCCTGCAATGTGGAAAATTGCCCAAGTAGGTGCTATACACAAAAAGCAGGACAAATCTAACCCGGCCAATTACCACTCCATCAGTCTACTCTCGATCTTCAGTAAAGTGATGGAAGGTGTCATCAACAGTGCTATCAAGCAGCATCTGCTCAGCAATAACCTGCTCAGTGACGCCCAGTTTGGGTTCTGCCAGATCAGCTCCTGGTCTCTTTACAGCCTTGGTTCAAACATGGACAAAAGACCTGAATTCCAGAGGTGAAGTGAGAGTGACATCCCTTGACATCTTGGCTGCATTCGACTGAGTGTGGCATCAAGGAGACCTAGCAAAACTAGAATCAATGGGTATCAGGGCAAACTCTCCAATGGTTCGAGTCATACCTGACACATAGGAAGATGGTTGTGATTGTTGGAGGCCAATCACCTCAGCTCCAGGACATCGTGCAAGAATTCCTCAGAGTAGTGGCCTAGGCCCAACCATCTTCAGCTGCTTCATCAATGACCTTCCCTCCGTCATAAGGTCAACGTGGGGATGTTCGTCAATGATTGCACAATGTTCAGCACCATTCACGACTCCTCAGATACTGAAGCAGCCCGTGTTCAAATGCAACGAGATCTGGACAATATCTAGGCTTGGTCTGACAAGTGACAAGTAACATTCGCGCCACAAATATGCCAGGCTATGATCATCACGAATCAGAGACAATCTACCTACTGCCCCTTGGCATTCAATGGTATTACCATCACTGAATCCTCCACTATCAACATCTTGGGGGTTATCATTGACCAGAAACTCAGCTGGACTCACCATATAAACACAGTGGCTACAAGAGCAGGCCAGAAGCTAGGAATATTGCAGCGAGTAATTCACCTCCTGACTCCTCAAAGCCTGTCCACCATCTACAAGGCACAAGTCAGGAGCGTGGTGGATTACTCCCTACTTGCCTGGATGAGTGCAGACCCAACAACACTCAAGAAGCTTGACACCATCCAGGAAAAAGCAGCCCACTTGATTGGCACTGCATCCACAAGTATCCACTCCCTCCTCCACCACCGATGCTCAGTAGCAGCAGTGTGTACTATCTACAAGATGCACTGCAGAAATTCACCCAAGATTTTCAGACAGCACCTTCCAAACCCACGACTACTTCCATCCGGAAGGACAAGGGCAGCAGACATATGGGAACACCTTCAAGCTCCCCTCCAAGCCACTCGCCATCCTGACTTGGAAATATATTGCTGTTCCTTCATTGTCACTGTCACTGGGTCAAAATCCTGGAATTCCCTCCCTAAGGGCATTGTGGGTCAACCTACAGCAGGTGGACTGCAGCAGTTCAAGAAGGCAGCTCACCACCACCTTCTCAAGGGCAACGAGGGACGGGCAAGAAACGCTGGCCAGCCACATCCCACAGATTTTCAAATCCATTCTGCCTGTTCCTCACCTCAAGAACAGTTGGCTGGTAATTGAAAGGGTGATATGGGGGTAACCTCATTGGTGCTGAAGGTTTGCCTGATTTCATTACTTCGGTGATTCTGTAAATAGAAAAATAACCCACTCCCTTGAAACTGATCAGAGGCCGCTTAAGGTTGCAAATTAGTTTTCTAATTATTCTTTCATGGGATGTGGGTGTTGCTAACAAGGCTAACATTTTTTGTCCATCCCCCCTTACTCCCCTCAAACTAAGTGTCACGTCAGACCATTACAGAGGGCTGTTGAGAGTCAACCATATTGCTTTGGGTGCGGAGTCACATGTCAGCCAGACCAATGAAGATGGCAGATCGGTCAGAGCATTGAGTGTAGGAGTTGGGATGTTTTGTTGCAGGTGTACAAGATGTTGGTAAGGCCACATTTGGAGTACTGCATGCAGTTCTGGTCACCCTGCTATAAAAATGGACACCATTAAACAAGAAAGAGTGCAGAAAAGATTTACTAGGATGCTACCTGGATTGGAAGGTTTGAGTTATGAGGAGAGACTGGATAGGCTGGGATTTCTTCCCTGGAGTGTAGAAGGCTGAGGGGTGAACTATAGAGGACTATATAATTATGAGAGGCATCGATAAGGTAGATAGCCAACAGTAGAGAAGTCTAAACTAAAGGGCATAGTTTTAAGGCAAGAGGGGAGAGATATAAAAGGGTCCAGAGGGACAGTTTTTTTCACACACGGTGGTGAGTGTCTAGAACGGGCTGCCAGAGATAGTCGTGTAAGTGGATACAATTTTGCCGTTTAAGAAACATTTGGACAGATACGTGGATAAGACAGGCATTGAGAGATATGGACCAAACATAGGCAAATGAGACGAGATTAATTGTGAAAATTGGACGGCATAGACAAATTGGGCCGAAGGGCTTGTTTCCATGCTGTAAACCTCCATGACTCTATTTCTTTCCCTAAAGAACATTAGTGATCTTGATGGGTTTTTACAACAATCATTGGTAGCTTTCTGGTTATGATTACTGAGACCAGCTTTCAATTCTAGCTTCAAATCAATCAATTGATTATATCAATCAAATTCAAATTCCACTAGCTACCATGGTGAGACCCAAACTCATAACTCCAGGTCGTTGGCCAGTGCCGCGGAATTACCAGTCCTCCTGCTGTCACCACTATACCACTATCTCCCTTTACTGGTTGGTTCCTACATTGGTTGGGCGATCCTGGTTTCAACTTTTAGGTACACTCAGGTAGTGTGTGGACACATAGAACATAGAACATTACAGCGCAGTACAGGCCCTTCAGCCCTCAATGTTGCGCCGACCTGTGAAACCAATCTGAAGCCCATCTAACCTAAACTATTCCATTATCATCCATATGTTTATCCAATGACCATTTAAATGCCCTTAAAGTTGGCGAGTCTACTATTTTTGCAGGCAGGGCATTCCACGCCCTTACTACTCTGAGTAAAGAACCTACCTCTGACATCTGTCCTATATCTATCACCCCTCAGTTTAAAGCTATGTCCCCTCGTGCTAGCCCTCACCATCCGAGGAAAAAGGCTCCCACTGTTCACCCTATCTAATCCTCTGATCATCTTGTATGTCTCTATCAAGTCACCTCTTAACCTTCTTCTCTCTAACGAAAACAGCCTCAAGACCCTCAGCCTTTCCTCATAAGACCTTCACTCCATACCAGGCAACATCCTGGTAAATCTCCTCTGCACCCTTTCCAATGCTTCCACATCCTTCCTATAATGCAGTGACCAGAACTGTACGCAATACTCCAAGTGTGGCCGCACCAGAGTTTTGTACAGCTGCAACATGACCTCATGGCTCCAAAACTCAATCCCTCTACCAATAAAACCTAACATACAGTACGCCTTCTTAACAACGCTATCAACCTGGGTGGCAACTTTCAGCAATCTATGCACATGGACACCAAGATCTTTCTGCTCATCCACACTACGAAGAATCTTACCATTAGCCCAGTACTCTGTACTCCTGTTACTCCTTCCAAAGTGAATCACCTCACACTTTTCCGCATTAAACTCCATTTGCCACCTCTCAGCCCAGTTCTGCAGCTTATCTATGTCCCTCTGTAACCTGCAACATCCTTCCGCACTATCCACAACTCCACCGACTTTGGTGTCGTCCGCAAATTTACTAACCCATCCTTCTACGCCCTCATCCAGGTCATTTATAAAAATGACAAACAGCAGTGGCCCCAAAACAGATCCTTGAGGTACACCACTAGTAACTGAACTCCAGGATGAACATTTCCCATCAACCACCACACTCTGTCTTCTTACAGCTAGCCAATTTCTGATCCAAACCGCTAAATCACCCTCAATCCCATGCCTCCGTATTTTCTGCAATAGCCTACCATGGGGAACCTTATCAAACGCTTTACTGAAATCCATATACACCACATCAACCGCTTTACCCTCATCCACCTGTTTGGTCACCTTCTCAAAGAACTCAATGAGGTTTGTGAGGCACAACCTACCCTTCACAAAACCGTGTTGACTATCCCTAATCAAATTATTCCTTTCTAGATGATTATAAATCCTATCTCTTATAATCCTTTCCAACACTTTACCCACAACTGAAGTAAGGCTCACTGGTCTATAATTACCAGGGTTGTCTCTACTCCCCTTCTTGAACAAGGGGACAACATTTGCTAGTCTCCAATCTTCTGGCACTATTCCTGAAGACAATGACGACCTAAAGATCAAAGCCAAAGGCTCTGCAGTCTCCTCTCTAGCTTCCCAGAGAATCCTAGGATAAATCCCATCCGGCCCAGGGGACTTATCTATTTTCACACCTTCCAGAATTGCTAACACCTCCTCCTTATGAACCTCAATCCCGTCTAGTCTAATAGACTGTATCTCAGTATTCTCCTCGACTACATTGTCTTTTTCCTGTGTGAATACTGACGAAAAATATTCATTTAGCACCTCTCCTATCTCTTCGAACTCCACGCACAACTTCCCACTACTGTCCTTGACTGGCCCTAATCTTACCACAGTCATTCTTTTATTCCTGACATACCTATAGAAAGCTTTAGGGTTTTCCTTGATCCTTCCTGCTAAAGACTTCTCATGTCCCCTCCTGGCTCTTCTTAGCTCTCTGTTTAGGTCCTTCCTGGTTAACTTGTAACTCTCAAGTGCCCTAACTGAGCCTTCACGCCTCATCTCTACATAAGCCGCCTTCTTCCTCTTGACAAGAGATTCAATTTCTTTAGTAAACCACGGTTCCCTCGCTCGACCACTTCCTCCCTGCCTGACAGGTACATACTTCTCAAGGACACGCAGTAGCTTTCCTTGAACAAGCTCCACATTTCAATTGTGCCCAGCCCCTGCAGTTTCCTTCTCCATCCTATGCATCCTAAATCTTGTCTCATCGCCCCATAATTGCCTTTCCCCCAGCTATAACTCTTGCCCTGCGGAATATACCGATCCCTTTCCATCGCTAAAGTAAACGTAACCGAATTGTGGTCACTACCACCAAAGTGCTCACCTACCTCCAAATCTAACACCTGGCCTGGTTCATTACCCAGTACCAAATCCAATGTGGCCTCACCTCTTGTTGGCCTATCTACATACTGTGTCAGGAAACCCTCCTGCACACATTGGACAAAAGCTGACCCATCTAAAGTACCTGAACTATAGCGTTTCCAGTCAATATTTGGAAAGTTAAAGTCCCCCATAACAACTACCCTGTTACTTTCGCTCCTAGCCAGAATCATCTTTGCAATCTTTTCCTCTACATCTCTGGAGGCCTATAGAAAGCTCCCGATAGGGTGACCTCTCCTTTCCTGGTTCTAACCTCAGCCCATACTACCTCAGTAGACGAGTTGTAATCAAACGTCCTTTCTGCCACCGTAATACTGTCCTTGACTAACAATGCCACACCTCCCCCTCTTTTACCACCTTCCCTGATCTTACTGAAACATCTAAACCCATGTTAAATCATGTTGAAGACCTGTATTCCAAAACCAGATACACCTCTCCCCAAGTTGTTCCAATAAAGTTACTGCATTCATATCTACCTGACAAAGCTCTCCTGGCCACAAGAAACAGGGCAGTCCAACTCGCAATCCTAAATGGAGCTTTAAGTTGCCTTTAGCTTCACCGAAAGTAATTAAATTACTTCAAAATTCAACTATGTTAAAAGGCAATTCTTACTTGCTTACTGCTTCAAGGCAAAGGTTCCAATTACTAGCATGATATGGCGTGTGTCATTCTTCATCAAGGAAATAAAAAGGAAAGAAAGAGAAGTGTACAATTCTGCTCAGAAACCATTGCCATTTCTACCTTCTCGCTCACCCCACAAATGTTTACTTACTAATTACAATGTATTCTTCTCTTACATTATCCTATTACCAGAGTGTGATGAAAATACATCTGATACAGCATCTGGCTACAGAAAGGTGTATGCTTGCTAGTTGTATTGTATTGTTGGATATTTCCCTAATATTTGTTATAAGAATGTCATTGCTAGGAGCTTACAAACCTTTGTCTCAGGGTTAGTTTCCGAGTACTTTGACTAACTTGGTACTGTACAAAATGAGGAACAAGGTCAGGACCAAGTTTCACGTAAGCTCCTTTGTTACTGCCAACTTCATAATAATTTGAAGCAGAAAATATGGTCAGGACCTGTATGGATAAGAAAAATAATCACAATGTCATGAAGGATATTCATGCGCAATCCTGCTGTAGAGACAAAATTTGTACACTTCAGGTACTTCTTCAACAAAGGAGAAAATTGACTGAGCCATTCTTTACTAGGGAGGGAGAGAGAAAACACATAATTATATGCAGCAACAGTAAGGAAATGCTAGAATTTATTATTAAGGGTGTGGAAACAGTGCTTTTAATGAATCATAATATAATGAGGCAAAGTCAGCAAGGATTTATGAAAGGAAAATTGCATTCAGTAAATTTGCTGGAGCTCTTTGTTGTAACTGTTAAGGTACGTTGACCCAATCTAGTGTATTCAGATTTTGGGAAAAAAAATGATGAGGTACTACAAAAGAGGTTATCATATAAACTTAAGGCTTATGAAGGGGAGTCAAATATTAACACGGATTGAAAATTGGATAAGGTTGAAACCAGAGAAGAACAAATGGGTACTTTCAGGTTGGTGGCCCAGAACTAGTGGGCTACTGCAAGGAATCAGTGCTCAGTCCTCAGTTATTTCCAATCTGTAACAATGACTTAGATGAGGGAACCAAATGTAGTGTATCCGAGATTGTTGATGGAATAAAGTGAGATACAAAAGAAAGATCTGAACTGAATGAGTGAATGTAAAACCCAGACAGACGGAATACAAAGCAGGGAAGTGCAAAGTTAGACACTGTGTAATAAAAAAAGAGAAAAATGAATATTTCTTGAAGTGGTGAGAATCAGGGAAGAGATGGTACTCAGAGGAACCTATGTGTTCTTTTACATGAATCATAGAAAGTTACCATATAGGTACAGCAAGCAATTAGGATGACAAATAATATTATTGCAAAGTGGTCAGAGACAAGAGTTAAGAAGGCCTGCTGCAGTTGTCTATGACCATATTGAGACCACACCTCAAATATTCTGTACAGTTTTGGGTTCATACAAGGAGGAATATACTTGCCTTTGAGGGTATTGTACGATGGTGTACTCAACTGGTTTCTGGAATTCAGGGAATATCCAACAAGGAGAGATTGGGCTGAGTCGGCCTAAATTCCCTGGCATTTAGAAGTATGAAAAGTGAAGCCATCGAAAAATCTAAAATTCTTAAGAGGCTTCACAGGATAGATGGAGGAAGATGTTTCTCTTAACTGGAAACTCTAGAACTATGAGTCACTCTCAAAATATTTAGGTATCTGATAAGTAGTAATGACTTAACTCAAAGGGTTGTGGATCATTAGATTTCTGTAGTGCAGAAGGGTGTCTTGTTGAGTGTATTCAAGATGGAGATCAACAGATTTTTAAGGAATCAAGAGATGCGAAGATGGTGCAGGGAGGTGGGGTTGAGGCAGAAGATCAGACATAATTGCATTGAATGTCAGGCCAGGCTCAAACGGTCAAATAGTATACATCAGCTCCCATTTCAATGTATGTATCCTGGGATGGTGTCTGTTGGCATAATTATTCAACCAGCCAACAGCCATCTATTTTCACAAAGTATTGTTTTCCCTTCCTTCAATGTCAGTTATTGTTTCTTGTGATATTTGGGGTTGTGGGAAGTAATTTCTCTTGCACTGGTAATTACTGCTGTGTAGGTAACTGGTTATATGTTGTGAGTGTGTGCTGAATTGTAATATGAAGCTCTAGTGAATGCTAAATCAATTATTTGTTTATTCATTAGACCCATCAGTTTAATAGTGAAAAAGGTACATGAACTGGAGAAACTGAGGGATATGAAGAATGCTATATAAATGTAACTGTTTGTTTCTTCTTCCTACAACAGATAACCTGATTAAATATGAACATTCATTCTTTGTTGTGTTGCATTGTTCAGTTGCATACAATGGCTCAATTTTCTAAAATTACAAATAAATTGCCCTCTGCAGTGTCAAGTTGTGTGATCTGGTTTATTCTGCTCTAAGTCCCAGTGTTTGGAAGTTATCCTTACTGTCAGAAAGCCAAAGAATTACAGATGCTGGAAATCCAAAACAAATCAGAAATTGCTGGATTATCTCGGCAGGTCTGGCAGCATCTGTAGAGAGAAAGCACAGTTAACTTCAACAGTTCTTAAGAAGGGTCACTGGACCTGAAGCGTTAGCTCTGCTTTTTCTCCACAGATGCTGCCAAACTTACTGAGTTATTCCAGCAGTTTCTGATTTTGATCTTTCCTGTCAGATTTGTTCAGCAGAAGTGCATAACCTGTATGAACAGCCATTACTTTAGTTCAGGGGCACTTAGTCATGTTGGATCTGTGACCAAGGCATTGTACTAACATGAAGCAGGTAAAACAACTACTGCCAAACAAATGTAAGTATGACTTTGTTGTATTGATTCTATTTCACAGGCTTCATTGAGGTTTATCTTTACCTTTTCATTGTGGCAGAACTCATAGCCCTCTTGCTTACACTCATGGGATCTGATCAAGAGCTGTAATTGGTGTTTCTGTAGAATCTTTTCAGTCACATCAGGTCCAAAGTAGCATCCACCTCCTCTGACCGTATTTGCAATACAACCTTCCTGATGCATTGGGTCACTCCACAAGATGTCCACAATCTCAACAGAGAAAATACATTTTTCAATCCCACATTCTTAAACCATTTGACTTATTGATGCCTGTTTCATTGGACTAATATTCTTGAATTCCATGATATTATTATAAGAACAGAAAGATGGCTGTAGTTCAAGGAGGAGGCTAACCACTGCCTTTGTAAAGCATCTATAGCTAGGCAATAATTATCAGCATTGCCAAAGTCCCAATAACAATATTTTTTAAAATGAAGAAGTTAGGAGATGAAACATGGAATTGAGAAACCATTTGGCCCATTAAACTCATGGAGCCTATCCTAGATGCCACACATGACCCAGGATGATTCTGCAATTCCATTTGATATTAGTACAGTGGAGTTGAATAGAAAATGTTGCACATGCACTGATGTTTCATCACTTTCTGGACCTCATTTAAAGCAGCAAGTGCTCAGCAATGAGGAAATACCACAGAGACAAGATATAGTAGATTCAAAAATTGAATGTATTGTGTTTTAAATCTAAACACTAATTTTGACTAAGTATTGTTTTCTCTTCCTTCAATGCCAGTTGTTGCTTCTTGTGTTATTGGAAATTTCAAATATCTATTGTTGAAAATATGAACAAGGCTTGATTTTGCACCAAGTAAAAACAATTTGTGAATGGTATTACTGAAATATATAAATGTACACATTACATGTTGTGCCAATCAAACCAATAATGCAAATCTAACCTCAACTGATGTCAGAAATAATGACATCTCTGAACTGTATTATGTATTTGCACCACTATAGTAAAGGTGAGGACAAGGTCCATTAGATTGCATTGTAACATTGCACGTTCCAATGGCCATTGCTAGAACACAGGCTTGCAAAAATAGCTTTCTTCCATAACAGGGTGGTGATGTGTGGAAACTAGGCATGTTCACACACAGCTCCCTCTCCTTCTGAGACTTCTTGTGCCTGATGGTTTTAATGGTTGGTGACTCATTCACATTTAAGTGATTGTTCATGATCTCATCCCTACAAAGTTTAATGGATTTTCAGAGCCCTGTCTTCAAAAAGACACAAGCCAGGTTTGGATGAAGAAAGCTGTTCAGCACAGTACATTCAATTGCATTGTCTTTCCAGTTGAAGCTATTTTTAAATAGGCTAGTGTATGACTTGGTTACCCATTTTGGCAAAGCCTTAATCTACCATCTACTTTTGTGTAAAGAAATGTCTCATTTGACTTGAATGTACAGGGCATAACACAGTACGGTACAAATCAGTTTTTTTGCATTTGATACCTTATGAATCAAAATATTAAATTTTATGTCAACACACCTGTTTCCATTCATGGTTGTTGAAGTCAAGGATTTCTTGAGTGTCAGAATCTAACATGGACCGTGATATTTTAGATTCATCATGCGTGTTACTGAAGCCCACTTTTCTACGACATTTTTCTAGTCCCTCCTCAACTGAACATTGTACTCTTTGAAAGATTTCCTTTTCCTTTCCGCATGTAGTGCCAGAACTCTTCCTCCTCTGACTCTTGTAACTATGACAATGAAGGTTAAACACGCCAGATAATAAATTCTTCCTTGGAGTTTGGTCAGATTTGTTCAAACACTGCTCATTACCCCGGCTGAAGTATTGCTCCTGATCCGACACTTGCTTGCTCTGTTCAAACCTTTTCCTTTTGGATCGTCTCAAAGCCGAAGCATACTGTCAAAAACATTGAGTTTTCTTTCAGAAAGAAGCACCCTGGTGGTGTATTCGCATTCTATGTATCGATTTGAAAGTCTTACATCTGACACATCCATTGCATTTCCAGCTGTTTAGCTTAAAGATATTGTCAAAGCAGCTACGTATCACATTTAAACAGATAGGAAACTAAGCAAGAACATATAATGTCTTAAAAATAAAGATAACCAGTTTCCTCAGATATAGCAATTAACCTCTAGACATCTTCAGCAGAAGCTCTTTTTGTTAAATCTGCATAAGTGATTATCTTCATTATAGCATTCAGATTTTATGGTTTTTAAGTGATAGGCCAGTTTAAAAATAACTAAGAAAAATTAATGCTTGTTAACTGGTATATCATATTTCTGCAATACGATAGTGATTCATTTTCAAAATGTACACAATTGGCTGCAATGTGCTTGGGGTGTCCTTCATGAGATTGTGAAACACACAAGGTAAAAGTGAATTTCTTTATCTTTGTGTATAATATATTGTGATGAAATCCTCTATTTGTATCAGTTGCTTGACCTGAGCAAGCCAGCAATCTATGGTAACATTTATGAAACAGATAGTTGCAAAAGTCAATAGGTGATAACAATAAATTCTATCCCACAATGGCAAAGGGGCTTATAGCAATGAGGAGCCAAGAGAAGTTGGATAGCTCTGTGTTGTCAAATGTCAGGAAGAAGTTCTTGGAAATTAGCATGCAGTTAAACCTTGGGGTCAGTGCTCAGAAATCATCCTCAAAAGCTGAGAAAACAGGAAAGTTGCTAGCAATGTGCTGGGGGAAGCCATAAGGGGCTTCAGAAAAGCCTGTTAGTATTAATACTTCAATACAACTGAGAGAATGGAGTTTGAAAACCTCACAAGCGGCATTTACTTGATGTAACTGAAAATGATTAGAACTCAGAAAAACCCAATAGTTTTACTGGTTTAGTGGCCCTTGCCATCTGTGAAAAGATTGAGTGTTTGTTAAACGATAGAGTTGTGCCTGTGAAGAAGAACAGTTTCTGCAGCTCAGGGGAGCAGTGACCCAGAAAAGGAAGGTGCCTGACCATAACAGGAGCAGTTGTTGATGCAACGAGATAACACGGTGTAGAGCTGGATGAACACAGCAGGCCAAGCAGCATCAGAGGAGTAGGAAAGCTGACGTCTCGACCCGAAACATCAGCTTTCCTGTTCCTCTGATGCTGCTTGGCCTGCTGTGTTCATTCAGCTCTACACCATGTTATCTCAGACTCTCCAGCATCGGCAGTTCCTACTATCTCTGTAACAGTAGTTGATGCAGTTTGTTATGGAGTGGCTCTTGAGAGGAAGTTTCAAGATTGGCAAATGTAAAGAATTGTGTTTGTTTGTGAAGTTTAATGAGATTTAATGACACTCCATGACATTAATGTCTGCTTCAGACATAAAGAATTGCTGAGAAATTGGTGGGGGCAGTCTCAATAGCATTCATCATTTGTTGTGCGCTGTGGGGTGTTTGATCACAGTCTATTACCCATCCTTGTCACATGTTATTTCTGGGTATTAGAAGTAAATTGTCCATGTACTATGTTATTGTTCTAACAATTTATACTGAAGTCTTTTGCTGTTTGTTCAAAATTGTGGAAACATGTGCCTTTAATATCTGAATAAGTCTCCCTGATATAATCCCTTGCCAGCCTTCAACATAAATTTGATGGGCTTGTCTTGGTTCGTGACATATTTTGGAGGATCTTGAGGGAATTGAAATCCATGAACAAATGAGTGCTGGGACTTGTTAAGGTTAAGGATGGTTAATATTTTCAGTGAATTTTGCTGCGCATGTTGAAAAGTAAAATGGATTTATCAGTTGTTAAAACTTTTTTGGAAAGGTAAGATTTATTCCTGAGTGATTTGCAAGAATTAACACAGGCTAGGTTAATAGCATTAGCAGAAACATTGAAGTCAAGAATTGAAAGCATTGGTTAAGAAAACAAAGATAGTTGAGGTGGTAGCACAACATCTAGGATTGGAAGAACAATCTAACTCAGGCAGATCACAGGTTGTGTTGGTTACAAATCAGCTACAGATGAAGTTGCATGAAATAGAAAAGGAGAAAAATGAAGAGAAAACATGAATTTGAAAAAGGCAAATGGTTGAACTTGAACTTCAGAGAGAGAAGCATTAGGCAGTGAGAGAATAGGGACCATAGTATGATAGAAATTTCCATTAAGTATGGAAAATATACAGTTCAATCTGAAACTAGGCTGTTCAGCCTAAGCAAGGGTATTAATAAAGATATGAGGAGGAATTTGGCTGTAGTGGATTAGAAAAATATGTTCAAAGATAAATAAGCAATGGCTAATATTTATAGAATTACTGCTAGATTTTCAAGCAAGCATATTCAATCTTTTAAGGCAAAAATACCCAACATGGAAAGTGAGAACACCATGGCTAACAGGGGAAGTTAAAGATAGGATTAAATCAAAGGAGGAAGGTTGTAAAGTTGCCAAAAGAAAAATTGTATGTTCTAAGGGAGTGTCACTGAACCCAAAACATTAACTCTGACTTCCCTTTACAGATGCTGCCAGATCTGCAGAGCTTTTCCAGCAACTTCAGGTTTTGTTTCTGATTTACAGCATCAGCAGTTCCTTTGGTTTTTTAAAAAAAATGTTGTATGTCCGAGGAGGGAGAATTCAGTGAAGCTGGACCAAGAAATTGATAATAGAGTATGAATGCAAACTAACATGACCTATAAAAATAGTTCGTAAAATCTTCTATAGGTATGTAAAAAGGAAGATTGGTAAAAATAAATGTGGATCCATTACAGGCAGAGACAAGAGAATTTATAATAGCAAGTATCAAAATGGCAAAGAAACTAAATAAATACTTTTTATCTGTCTTTACAGAGGAAAACACTAGAGGTCTCCCTGAAATAATTAAGATCCAAAGGTCCAGTGAGACTGTAGAACTTAAAGAAATTAGTAAGAAAGCAGTTTTGGAGAAATTAAGGGACAAATGTCAACAAATCTCCTAGATCTGATGACCTCCACCTTAGAGTACTGAAAGAGATGTCTTACAGAGATAATGCATAATTGATCATCTTTCAAAATTCTATTAATTCAGCAATGGTAATTACAAATTAGAAATTTGAAAATGTAACCCCACTGTTTAAGAAAGGAGGAGGCAATTGCAAACCAGTTAGCCTGATGTTAGTCATTAGGAAAGTAATAGAATCTGCTTGAAAGCATGTGATTACTGAATAATTAAAACACCACATGGACTGCAGCAGTTCAAGAAGGCATCTCACCACCTTCTCAAAGGCAACTAGGGATGGGCAATAAATGTTGACCCACATCCCATGAATGAATCAATAATAAAAGGCCTCAAAGTGTCAAGAAGAGAATCAAAGACAACAGTCTTCCACCTAGCAAACTATCAGTCTTCCAAGTCCGAAAAGAAGATCTTCCAGGAGAGTAGTGAAACCTTCAGATTGCCTGAATTTGTAAAGTCAGAAAGGTGGGATATTGATAAATGTAGTTTTATACACACATGTATAACAATGATAAGAACAAAACTTAAGCGTAGATGATGTATATGCATCTGAAAGGATCAGAAGGTCTAATATTGAAGAGTTCCATGAGCACTGCCCATTATGATGATGACGTGGAGATGCCGGTGTTGGACTGAGGTGGACAATGTCAGAAATCTCATGACACTGGGTTATAGTCCAACAGGTTTATTTGGAATCACAAGTTTTGGAGCGCTGCTCCTTCGTCAGGTGACTTTACCTGATACTATGACGATAATATGGACTTGTGGGCAGAATATCGTAGGATCTTGAAGGAGTGACTCCCACATTTGAGTCCTCCTCATAGTCTCTGTAATAATGCCTATCATGTCAATTTAATACCTAACCAGTTACTAACATGCAAAGAAGTACTTCTCATTCAAAAAAAAAGCACTTCTTTTTATCCAGGCCAGTTTATTCTTCTAACACAGTAGACCAGACAGGCCCAGTGGGATCCCTATAGTTAATGAGGTTGATGGCACCAAACCTTCCACATAGTGAGCTGGCACAAGAAATGGACGTATTAGCTCTTTAATCCCCGTTGCCATGCCTCTAGTTATAAAATAATGGTAGTCATCATTTATAAAGGAATATTTTGTCCCTTTACCCTATCTTTGAAAAGATAAGCATAATTTTTGGGGTGGCAATGGCCTAGTGGTATTATTGCTGGACTGTTAATCTAGAGGCCCAGATTGTGTTCTGGGGACCTGGGTTTGAATGCCGCCATGGCAGATGGTGGAATTTGAATTAAATAAAATATCTGGAATTAAGAATCTAGAATGGAATTAAGACTGTGAATCCATTTTCAATTGTCGGAAAAACCCCATCTGCTTCACTAATGCCCTTCAGGGAAGGAAACTGCCATCCCTACTTGGTTTGGCCTACATGTGACTCCAGACCCACAACAATGTGGTTGACTCTTAGCTGCTCTCTGGGCAATTAGGGATGGGCAATAAATGCTGTCAAGCCAGCGACACCCTCAATCCATGAATGAATAAAGAAAAATAAATTATATGCTTGGCTTGGCCCAGCCCATGTTACTTTGGATTTTGATTTGGTTTCACACATATCCGATCATTATCTAAGCCTGATTTTTGAGAATTATAAAGAGATGGATAAATTAATATTGCTAAGAGTCTTCTGCATATTCCATCATGTTTAAATAAAAAGAGGCAATCAAGGGAAAATATATCAAGGGTTCCTTTGCAAAATAAACGTAATTAGAATAACTTTTTCATAATTCAGAGATACATTTAGTCATCTTAAATGGTCAATGTATACCTTGTGCCTGTCAATCTTGCTCAGGAAATCCAAATCTGTTGCTTCTGAAATGCCTCCATGTAAAATCAATATTTTTTCATCTATAATAGTAGCTAGTGGCAACCAACTGAAAACTCTCTGTATTAATTTCAGTATTATTCTGCCATGTGCCTAAGGCAAGTATAAAAATTCATTAGTATACAGAAAATATTCAAACATTCCAATATTATGTTGGTGTGAACTTGTGGAAGAAAACAGTGGTCATCCAAATGTTTACCTGATATTTCTGCATTACTTCCTTTGTGAATCCATATCTGAAATGGTAAAATGTAACTTAGTACTGGAAAAATTATATTAGAGGGAATATAGGATAGTTTTTTAATATATGCTATTTTACTGCATATTTTTGAATTAATTAACATCTGGTCATCGAAAATGTTCAGTAATATGTTATAAATTGAATAGTGCAATGACTCATATCCAAGTGCTGGAACAAATAACAAAGAAAATTACAGCACAGGAACAGGCCATTCAGCCCTCCAAGCCTGTACCGACATGCTGCTTGTCACAACTAAATCCCCTTCTCTTCCGGGAACGTATCCCTCTATTCCCATCCTATTCATATATTTGTCAAGACGCTCTTTAAAAGTCACTATCATATCTGCTTCCACTACCTCCCCTTGCAGCGAGTTCCAGGCACCCACCACCCTCTGTGTAAAATACTTGCCTTGTACATCTCCTTTAAACCTTGCCCCTTGCACCTTAAACCTATGGCCTCTAGTAACTGACTCTTCCACCCTGGGAAAAAGATTCTGACTGTCCACTCTGTTCGTGCCCTTCATAATCTTGTAGACCTCTATCAGGATGCCCCACAACCTCCATTGGTCCAGTGAGAACAACCCACGTTTCTCCAACCTCTCTTCCATAGCTAATGCCCTCCATACCAGGCAACATCCTGGTAAATCTTTTCTATATCCTCTCCAAAGCTACCACATCCTTCTGGTGGTGTGGCGACCAGAATTGAACACAATATTCCAGATGCGGCCTAACTAAGGTTCTATAAAGCTGCAACGTTACCTGACAATTTTTAAACTCAATGCCCCGGCCGATGAAGGCAAGCATGCTATATGCCTTGTTGACTACCTTCTCCACCCGTGTTGCCACTTTCAGTGACCTGTGTGCCTGTACCCCCAGATCCCTCTGCCTGTCAGTACTCTTAAGGGTTCTGCCAAATACTGTGTATTTTCCATCTGGATTAGACCATCCAAACTGCATTACCTCACATTTTTCCAGATTAAACTCCATCTGCCATCTCTCTGTCCAAGTCGCCAACTGATCTATATCCAGCTGTCTTCATCGCAATCCGCAATTCCACCAATCTTTCTGCCATCGGCAAACTTACTAATTAGACCAGTTACATTTACCTTCTGTATCAGCCTGCCATGAGGGACCTTGTCAAAGGCCTTACTGAAGTCCATGTAGACAACATCCACTGTGCTACCCTCATCAATCACCTTCGTCACTTTCTCAAAAAACTCAACCAAGTTAGTGAGACACAACTTCCCCTTCACAAAACCATGTTACCTCTCACTAATATGCCCACTTATTTCCAAGTGGGAGTAAATCCTGTCTCAAATAATCCTCTCCAATAATTTTCCTACCACGGATGTAAGTCTCACCAGCCTGTAATTAGCTGGATTATCCTTGCCACCCTTCTTAAACAAAAGGAACAACATTGGCTTAGTTAGACCACATCTCAATTATGCAGTTCTGTGCACCAACGTTTAGAAAGGGTGCATTGGCCTGAGATGGCGAGCAGTATATGTTCACCAGAGTATTGTGAGGGTTCAACAGATTACATTATGAGAAATGATTGCATAAGATAGGTTCATATTCCCTGGATCCTAGAAGGTTGAGGTAGATTTGAAAGGTGTTTTTTTAAAAGTATTTTGATAGTAATTGATAAAGTAGAAAGCAAGAAATTATTTTTGCTGATGGCTAGACTAGGGCAAAGGGGCTTAGACTTATAAGGGCTGGACTTTACGGAACTCAGAGCAGCATTAATTGCTTTAAAGCAAGACACGCATTTGGAAAAGAATGAACTAATTAAGGATAGTCAACATGGTTTTATGCGGGGGAGGTCTTGTCTCATAAGTTTGAGTTTTTTGAGGAAGTGACAAAGACAATTGATGAGGGTAGAGCAGTAGATATTGTCCACTTTCCTAAAGAATTTGACAAGGCCCCTTATGGTAGGCTGGTCTGGAAGATTAAGGCACATAGGATCTATGGTAAGTTGGTAACTTGGATACAAAATTGGTTTGGTCATAGAAGACACAGGGTAGTTGTGGAGGAGTGTACTTCTGACTGGAGGCCTGTTGCAAGTTGTGTTCCACAAGGAATAGTGCTGGAACCTCTGTTGTTTGAACTGTATATATTTGGACAACAATGTAAATGGTCTGATAAGTGGTTTGGTAAGTTTGCCGACAACACAAAAATTGGTGGAGTTGTGGGTAGTGAGGAAGGTTATCAAAGGATACACATGATATAGATCAGCTGGAAAGTTGGGAGGAGAAAAGGCAGATGGCATTTAATCTGGACAAGTGATGCACCTTGAGAGGTTAAATGCATGAAGCAAGTATACAGTAAGTGGCAGGACCCTTGGGTCCTGATATACAGAGCATCTAGGGGTGCAAGTCCATAGGTCCCTAAAAGTGGGAACACAAGTGGATAAGGTGATAAAGAAGTCATACTTACCTTCATTGATTGAGACAGTGGCAAGTCATGTTGCAACTGTATAAAACTTTAGTTAGGCTACACTTGAAGTAGTGTGTGCAGTTTTGATTGTTATACTACAAGAAGGATGTGGAGGCCTTTGGGACGGTGCAAAAGAGGTTTCCCAGGATGTTGCCTAGATCAGTGTGTACTATCTCTACAGAGAAGTTGTATCAAACTTGGACTGTTTTCACATAAACGTTGGAGGCTGAGGGGTGACTTGATAAAGGTTTATAAAATTATGAGAGGCATGGATAGGATGGATAGTTAATCTTTTTCTCAATGTGGACAGGGGGAAATGGGTTTAAGGTGAGGGAGGTAAAGTTTAAAGGAGATGTGCAAGGTAGGGTTTTTTTACATGGGCATAGTGGGTTCCTGGAATGTGCTGCTTGGGGAAGCGGTAGAAGCAGAGGCAATAGCAATGTTTAAGAGGCACTCAGACAGACATGAACCATCAGGAAGTAGAGGGATACAGACCATGATTAGGCAGTTGGGATGAGTTTAGAATGGCATCATGGTCGGCACAGATATGGTGGACTGAAGGGCATGTTCCTGTGCTATACTGTTGTATGTTCTGTGATCCACTCCTATCTCAATCCAAATCAAATTGTCAGTGGGAGTGGTGACCACTGCTGTGTCTACAGGCTGTTCACCACACTGATGGCCAGGTAAGTCTCCAGGGGGTGGGGGTGGGATGATATGTGTGTATTTGTGTGTATTGCGAGAGTGTTCTGGAAGGGTTGAGGGACTAGCTTCTAGACATTGGTGAAGGGAAGGTTTGAAACAGAGAATGAAAAAGACGTTTCTGATGGGCCCAATGAACCCCCAGTTGAGGGTGCCATCTTTGCTCAGTATCAGCCCAAATAACTAATGCAGCTGAGTTTTCTGCATGGACCTCTGCCACCAGGGGCTGAAATACAGTCAGGGCCTTTAACTGCCTATCAATTCATGACTGAAGTGTCTTGCAGGCCCAAGGGGAGCATACCCTGCTCCCTGTAGAATTTCAAACAGAGTGGACAATAGGAAAGCCACCCAGTGGAATTTACATGCCCCATCCCATACCACCCCCACCGCTATCTTCAAAGTTGCCACGAGGAGAATGTAAAATTCAACTCTTAAAATTTGACCAGATCGTTCAAGAGAAAGTTAGTACCTTAGCAAAGGGTGGTAGAAGTTTTGAACTCTCTCCCACAAAATTAAAAGATGTTAATAATTGACATTTAATAACCTTAAAAATTAGATCAACAAATATGGAACTAAGATGGTTGGATACAGTTTGGTCTTAGGTCAGCCATAATCTAAGTGTTCAGAACAGATTTGGAGTGCTAATTGATCTCCTATTTCTGTTTCTCTATCCCAATTGATAATGCCTTTTTTAGCTGTTGTATCTTTGAACATGTGTTACAAAATCTGTTAGAAATTCATTTAGAAGATCTGCATGGTCTGAAGAGATGGTGACAATCATCTCTGTTTTAAGGCATGGACTTCTTGCTGTGTCGAACTTCAACAGTAGCTAGTTACTTTGCTATGTCTTGCTCATTATTATTCATTATATACTCATTATTATTCATTATATACTCATTATTATTCAT